TAAAATAAATAAAAAACGAATCTGAGGTTGCAGGCTTTTGCTCTGGGTCTTTACATAGTAACTAGCAGTTGGGCTGAATGAACTCAGGTGGGGAAAGACCTGTGAGCAGAGAGCAGAGCTTCCAGGACTCACAGCCAAGAAGGTCTCCCAAGATGTTTAAGGTCGTTGCCTTGACAAAAGGACTGCCACATCCCTGGTCCTCTCCTCCAGGTGGCCTTGCTGCCTTCCCTGGGACCCTGCTTGGCTTATGTGACTTAAGGAAAGGATTTGTATGGACAGTGGTTTAGGCAGGAGTGCCATCTCTGGTTGTGGCATCTTAAAGTGCAGTCCTAAAACAGGCCCACTCAGAAGGAACTCCTGTTGGTTTCCATGGGGCATGCGCCCAGGTATATTAAGGGAGGATTGCAGCTTTGAGTGTTGCTGTACGGGGTAGGGGAAACGGCTACAGAAACAGGGGTGGGAAGGGGAAAGGGGACTTGGTCATCTTCTAGGTTGAAAAGGGAAAGGAATGTTTGTGATCTGTAACTGGGATCTCATTTCGGTGAAAACTGCTATGACTACCAGACTGAAGGGAGAGGCATGTGATTTTGGCCATGTTCTCTTCCACGTCAGCCTAAGACACAACGTCCCAAAGAAATTACAATTATTTAATCTCCCTTTCCCTCCCTGCCTTCTCTTGGCAAGCTTTGGGGCTCCAATTGGCCTACAAGCTGGCATTCAGCTTTGCCACATCAACTTATCCTGAGCCCTGAAGATCTTTCACCTGTGCTTGGCAGTTCTCTCTTTGCTGCTCCTGGCTTCCCCAGGTAAGGGATGGAGAGGAAGAAGACAGAGGGACACCTGCCAGCCAATTGTGGGGCGGAAGAAGGAGAGGAGTACAGTTGCTCTTCTGTGGCCTTGCAAAGGAAGCTCACTTTTCTTTCTAGAGACATTTCTTTAGTGGAAATCTCTTTAGTGGGAATTCTTTGCATAAAAATGTATATATCTGACAAAATTGCCAACAAAAGTGTGTCTATTAATGGAAATATGCACTGTGTTGCTGAATTTTCCCCATTACGCCCATCATTGCTATGCAATTTCCCCTAATATAACCCATATTTTCATGCTATTTTCATGAAGTTATACTTTTCCCTGTACATTTTATAAACACATTACTTGGAGGGAGAACTGCCTTTCAAAGGATGGCTCTCCTTTGGTTCACATATTGACCATTAAGGTGCAGCAATATATGGAAAACTGCATTGCATGTAAAACTGGTAAGGAAAACCAAAGGTAGCCTCTTTTTTCCTCAGTTTCGTTGGATTTTAAGGAATTTTAACCTTTAAAGCCCTATATGGCCCAGGAACCTCGTACCTATGGGACCGCCTTTCCTGGTATGTCCCACGGAGGACCTTACGGTCTTCAAACAAAAGCACCTTGGTGGTCCTGGGCCACAGAGAGGTTAGGCTGGCCTCAACCAGAGCCAGGGCTTTTTCGGCTGTGGCTCCAATCTGGTGGAACGCTCTGTCACAAGGAAATTGACATCTTTCCGCAGGGCCTGCAAGACAGAACTGTTCCACCAGGCCTTTGGCCAAGGCACAGCCTGACCCCCTCCTTTGGTAATCCTCACAGAAGTCTAGCCCAATGGTTGCCATTAATTTGATTTGAACTGATTTTACAATGAATTGATTTTAGAAAGGTTTTTTGATGCAATATAGAGCCTTTTTTCTGGGTAGTCCTTGAGTTTCTGATGATTACAATTACAGGCTTTAGTTTCTCTATAACTTATAAGCCATGCATGCCTCACTTCTTGTAAGAGAAGGAGGTGTCAGCAGGCATGGTTGTGCAGAGGCATAAAATGTCCCCCCTCCACCTTGTTTAGATAGCTCAGGATTCGGTCCCATATGTTTCATGTAAAGTGTCCCACTTTCAGTTCCAAGCACCTTTGGCATGAAAGTACCAGGACTGGACACTGACCCATTGCCCTTTGGATGTTTCTGATCTGGAGATGCCATCACCCCGATCCACAACCATACTGACAGCGACCCCAGGGGGTTTTAAACAGAAGAGTGAAGCAGCTTCAGAAACAGGGTTGGGGAGGAGAAAGGGGGATTTGTCATCTTCTGGGGTGGAAAGGAGAAAGGGAAGGACAGGCTGGCCAATTATTATGGGGTGCAGAGTGGGAAATGGCAGGTGGAGGGAGAAGAGAAGCAGAGCCCATCCAGTATTAAAATGCAAGTCCTGTTTGAAAAAGGTGTCTGAGAGATATGGTGGTGATGAGTTAGGAAGAGGAGGAGGAGGAGGAGGAGACATGTGAAGATTGTCCTTTTCATTTGATCCAAGCTATCTCCTTCTGAAACATGAGTGCAGCAGATCTGTATGTTGAAATCCCCATGGACAACCAAACTAGGTGTCTCCAGGAGCACATCCGCCACAACCTGAAGCAGCTCGGGGCAGGAGGGGAATCCTTGGCGAAGCGGGGAGGTCAGTACACCAAAAGGAATCCTGTATTCCCCCTATTGCCCAACTTCCAGAACATGAACTCAGAAAACTGGGTCTTCTCAATAGGGTGCCTGGTGCAAACTAATGACTTCCTAAAAATCACTGCAACCCCCACCCACGCCCACATGACCTGGGTTGCTGTGCCTAAGAGAAACCTGGTGGACAAGCAGCAGCAAGGACAGGCCCATCTGCTTCACCCAACCAAGTCTCTGTTACACATGCCAGGTCAAGTCCTCCATCCACAATCAGGTCGTGGATGGCAGTGGTCTTATTCATCATTGACCTGGCATTGCACAGCAGCACCTTCAGGTCATGTGGGTCTCCCTTATTGATTCCAGTATCCATCTGGCCAAGACCAGATCCGGAGGCAGGAATAGACTTCAAACAATGACTAAACCTGCCTCCTTGGTAATGACATGGTCTGGTCTTAGCATAACTCCTCCTACTACCAGTGTTCACCAAGATCAGGTGTTCCAGTGTGTGTGTGCGCACACACACACACACACACACAGAGACACACACCCTGTGGAATCTGCCCCAGCCATTCTCTTGGCTCTGGCCCACTTCCTGGCCACTCTGACCCTCTTCACCCAAGCATCACAATGAACTTGCACTTTGAGTATATGAAATTATTCCTTGCAATAAAAGCAAATTCAAAAACTCCATTTCCTCAATGTCTGGTTTTCAGGTATGTGTGTCTTTGCTTGAATAATATTACCTTGCCATCATCAGAAAGCAAACCCTGAAGGGAGGGAGGGAGGACCCCCCAAAACAGGCCAATGAGGAGGACTGAGCACCCCTCTCCCATAATGTTTTCTCCCTCTCCCATAATATTAGAACGCAATGGGGACTGAATGAAGCTGGATGGTGGGGGGTTCTGGACAGACAAAGGGAAGTCCATTTTCATCCATTGAATAGTCACAGCACTTCATTCATTGCCACAAGTCACTGTGATGACCACCAGCCTGGATGCCTTTAAAAATGAATTAGACAAATCCACAGGGGATAAGCATCTCTTATTGGTGTGATCAAAGTTCCTCACAACATCAAACCATCTTGCAGAAAACACTAACGGCTGCAGGGCATTACAAAATTTAAAGTTCCTTGCAACATCAAGCCGTTTTGCAGACTACACTAACAGTTACAGGGCATTACAAAATTTAAACGAAACAATGGGAACAGTTCATATTAACAAATCTCCACAGAAAATTGACAGTAAGTTCTGGCAATAGACAAAGAAGAATTGAACCCAGATTAAGGACAAGACACACAAAAAATCACCTCCAAAGATACATCTTGCCCCAGCAACAACTCCTGAACAATACCCACTTTTTTTTCTTTTTTGAGTTTTATTAGGACTTTAATGTAATATTTTTATTGATACTTTCCACTACAATTTTTTTCATATCAATCAGTCAATATAACCACGTCCCTTCTCCTCTTCCATGATTTCATTTATTTATGCATTACATCTGCATATTCTAATTACTCTTTATGTTTCATTTTTCTCCTTGCTCCTTATAACTTCAGTACTTGAATCTCCTGAATTTATTCCAACCCTGCTAACCTTTTAACTGATTTAAGATAATTGTTCAGTTATTCTGAAAACATTTTTCATCCTTGCTTAAAGATTCCATCTTCCTGAGCCCTTATTCTGTTAGTTAGGTTTGTTAATTCCACATATTCCATCATTTTCACCTGCCGCTCCTCCTCTGTTGGTATTATTTTCTCTCTATTTCTGAGTGTAAACCATTTGCGCTGCTATGGTTGTGTAGAGAAATAAAAATGTGGGGACATCCATACCTAATATTCCTAATAAGAAGGTTTCTGGTCTTTTTAAGCATTTTCTTCATTTCATTATATATCAACTCCAATAAATCCTTTGCTAATTTAGATGTCCACCCAAAATAATACCCTCTTGACATTTTTGTCTTTGCCAACCTGGTGCACTCTCCATAATTTTATTTTTATTTTTTTTGCATTACAGCAACCATTAGGGACATGGGTGGCGCTGTGAGTTAAACCACAGAGCCTAGAACTTGCCGATCAGAAGGTCAGTGGTTCGAATCCCAGCAACGGGGTGAGCTCCTGTTGCTCGGTCCCTGCTCCTGCCAACCTAGCAGTTCGAAAGCACATCAAAGTGCAAGTGGATAAATAGGTACCACTCCGGCGGGAAGGTAAACGGCGTTTCCGTGCACTGCTCTCGTTCGCCAGAAGCGGCTTAGTCATGCTGGCCACATGACCTGGAAGCTGTACGCCGGCTCCCTCAGCCAATAAAGCAAGATGAGCGCCGCAACCCCAGAGCCGGCCACGACTGGACCTAATGGTCAGGGGTCCCTTTACCTTTACCTTACAGCAACCATTATCTCTGACTCCAGGTCATGCTGGTTGGGGCTGAAGGGAGCTGCAGAACAACACAGCTGAAGGCCACCAGCTTGGACCAGCTGAAATTTCCAAGGGATCTCTAATGACACACTCCACATAGGAACACTGCAATGTTTATTCCATTACATCACAAGGGCATGGTGATCTATGGGCAGGATGCTTTAGACCAGGAAGGCCTGTGTTCTAATCCACACATGGCCATGAAATTTACTAGATGACTTTGGACCATGCACATTCTCTGCCAGAGCTACTGTGTCATGGTGATGAGAAGCGAGGGCTGCAGAGATCCAGGTTGCAATCTCTGCCCAGCCATGAAGCACATTGGGGTGACCTTGGGACAGTCGCCATCTCTCAACCCAGCCAGCACACTCTGTTGTTGTGACGATATTAGCTGTGTATCAGCCACATACAGTGCCTTGAGCCCATTGGAGGAAAGTGTTGGAGGGGGATTTCCAGCTGGTGGCAGAGGACAGAGTGACTCCAGGAGACATAGGTGTAAAAACCCAAACTAAAACGAAGACTTTATTACTAAACAATAAACACAAACTCTGGTGGGTGTTATTCCTGCAGGCAGGCTACAAAACTCAGCTTTTTTCCTTTATAGCAACGGCCAGCTGCAGCCAATTAATCCCAGAAACCTCTTAAAGGTATACACACATGTTTCTGTGCCGAATGTTCCCTAACAGAAAGGTGCAATAAATTTGTTGGAAGCTGCCCTGAGAGGCTGGGGCAACCCAGTCAGATGGGTGGGATACAAGTAATTAAGTAGTAGTAGTAGTAATTAGGTTTATCTCATGAAGTTGTTGTGAAGTTAAAATGGGGTCAGCAGGAGAGGGCATACTTCGTAGGAGGTGCAGTATATCTGTATCTCTTACTATAGAATAAAATTGTGAGTCGGCGTCACTCTGTTTTCATTGGCTGCTTTCCTAAAGTTCTAAAGGCAGGAGTGGGATGAGGATGCTCTGAGAAAACAGTGTGTCAATGCGGTCTTGGGAGAGAAGCAAATGAGGGTAGGTTGCTACAGGCTTTTTAGCCCTCTGGTGGCTAGCAGGAGGAAAAGAGAAGGAACTTGGGAGGGCAGGTGGACCTCACTAGGGGGCATTTGGAGGGATGGGGGAGCAGAGAGGTGTGTGGTAATGTTAGGTCCCCAGTGTTGGTGACGTAGGGCAGAATGCTGCAGAAGAGGAGGAACTGGGGAGGTAGGAGGGGGAAGGGACTGGGGGTAAAGGGTGCATTTGCAGTGCTGTGGATAAGCAAGATGGAGCACTAGGATGAAAGAAACTAGGTTGTGGGTCAGGAGGAGGGAGATTCTGGATGGTAGTCATGTCTGTGGTAAGTGGCTGAGGGAGGTTGAAAGGAAAGACTGGAACGGAAGGAGAGTGTTTATGACACTTTTAGGCAATGCTTAGCTAAATGGACTCAATATGGGGTAGCTTCCTATGTTCTAAAACGCACACCTTACCTCTGGCCTCCTTTGGAAAAAGATGGCGGGTCTCAAACACCCAGAGATGGAAATCCTCCCATAGTAATTTGATATATTTCAGAACTCATTGCTGGAAAGGATATTGGAGGCAGCCTGGTCCAACCTTAAGCTCAGGGAAGAATCTCCAGCACAGGTTGGAACTGCAGCATCCTTAAGAGATAACTATTCAGCCTCTGATTATACCTCTTGGGCTTCCCGATGAGGTCAGCGGTTCAAATCCCCGTGACGAGGGGAGCTCCCATTGCTCTGCCCTAGCTCTTGCCAACCTAGCAGCTCGAAAGCACACCAGTGCAGGTAGATAAATAGGTACTGCTGCGGCGGGGAGGTAAATGGAGTTTCTGTGCTCTCTGGTTTCTGTTACAGTCTTCCATTGCACCAATAGCAGTTTAGTTATGCTGGCCACATGACCTGGAAAGCTGTCTGTGGTCAAACACTGGCTCCTTCAGTCTGAAAGCGAGATGAGCGCCGTAACCCCATAGTCGTCTTTGACTGGACCTAACTGTCCAGAGGTCTTCTACCTTTTACCTTTTACCTTTTACCTATACCTCTAGTAGAGAAGACCTCCCACATCAGACTGATCCACTGTCAACACAAAACCTCCTTGCATCTAGAATACTAGCTTTCAGAAAGGAAGGCTACAGAATGATGGGAACTGCAGCCACATTGGCTACTCCAGGTTTTGGATGTCTTGAAAAACACTAAATCATTCTGCAGCTGCCAATTATCTGTTTTTCTCTTTGGCTTGATGGTATTCCAGTCTCTGGATTAATTTGTAGTTTGAAACCCCCTTTGCTTCATCTTCAAAGTGCCTAATGTACACTAAGAACCTGTTCGTTTTTTCAGTTTGTGTTTTAAATCTCCCAACTTTTTTGTTGTTGCTACACTGTACATTCCTGCTCTATTGCTTGTTTTAAATACTTCTATTTAAAAATTAACAAAACCTCCACATTGTCCTAAGAAAGGTAGGCAGTTTTTGTTTTGTAAGAATGAGGAAATGCTGAAAGAGGCAACTTGAAACTGTCCTTAACGTTTGTGGTCTGTAACTGGGATGCTGTCTTTGTGGACACTGCTCTGAATGACAGACTGTAGCAATACCTTTCCAACGGCCTTTGATTTCGGCAAGTTTCCCTTCAACCGCTCCCGGTGTCACAACGTCTGAAGGATCCTATAAATATCGAAAGCTCTGTCTTGCCCTGGAAACCTTTGAGACTTGGCCTTGCTTGTAACACTGCATCCAGCTTTCCCACATTGCTCCATCCCAGCTGAGTCATGAAGATCCTCCAGCTGTGCCTGGCAGTTCTCTCTTTGCTGCTCCTGTCTTCCTCAGGTAAGGAGAGAGGACACTTGTCAGCCAATGGGAAGGGTAAGAGGAATCAAGACGTCCTTCTGTGGCACTGCAAAGGGAACAAGCGTTTCTCTCTAACTTTTATTCCATAGAAGGAAACTAGCTTGGTCCTTCCATCAGAAATGTGTTTCCCCAGAAGCTGCACCCTGCACCATGCGCTGCAACTCCCATTGCACACATGCGCAGAACTGTAGCAGCTCGTGTTCCGTTTCGAGATTTCTAAACAATTAAGCAGCTTACAAATGCTTTTAAATAAATAAAATAAATACAAATAGCCAGAGATGTTTCTTTAGTGGACACTGACAGCCAGAACAAGCTTGAACAAGCACCGGTGGCCTTCTAGCTAAATTTCAGGCAGAAGCATGGCCCAGTCAGTGGTCTAACTGGCTCAATACAGTCTACACTGACTGGCAGTGGCTCTCTGGGGCACTAGGCAAGAGTCTCCCCAAACCCTCCTTGGAGATGATGAGTTGATGCTTGGCTGTTCCACTGAAGAGGGAAAATACTTGCTCTCTGCTGCCCCAGAGGGCAGGACTATTTGGATCAAGTGATACATAGGTTTCAGTTGAACATTAGAAAAACCTTCTTGATGGTAAGAGCAGCTGTGGTGGGCTCTCGCTCACTGAAGAGCCATCTGTTGGGGGATGCTCATGTTCTGGATTCTCTGCATTGTTCACAGGGTGGAGTAGATGACCTAGTGATGTCCTCCATTTTTTCCTATAAACCAATAGGAAACACACTCGGAATCCTGGTTTCCATGAAGGCAAAACAACGCCATCCTTGCACAAAAGGGATGCTTTGGGGGGGACCTCAAACACAGCAGATATTCAAAAACTCTTAAGGGTGAGGGACTCAGGAAACCTTCTCCCACCCAAAAAATTAGCCCACAGACTAATGAGGCACATTGTCTATTTGTGGGAGTGGGGACTGGAGAGGAGGGTGCATGGAATGGTGTACCATGGATGAGGGCATGGGCAGCTGAGACCATGAAAAGGAGCACTCTGAACTATAAGCACTTTGTTGAAGGTCCCATTTCTGATGAAGTGATTCTTTTTTAAAAAAAATGATATTTATTAAAAGTTTAAAAATTACAGAAGAAAAAAAGAAATAACAATAAAGTAGAAAAAAACCAATAACAAAACACATAAAACATATAAAAACCATACAATAATACAGCAAAAAAAAACAGACAAAAAAGAAACTAAAAAAACACATCCAATATTCCATGTCTTTGCCTTTCCTTAACTTATTTCATCGACCTCCTCACACCTCCCTTTTTTTGTATTCTAGTTCAATTCACTATTTCAGCAAGTTCTTCCCATCTTTCTCAATTTTGATTCTATAGTTTTAACGATCTAACCTTAATTTTTTTCAATTTAACCCAATATCAATCAACTTTTACTTAATTCTTTGTTGCATTTCTACTAAAACCATGTTAATTCATTCCCGCATCCTTCTAACACTCATTAATTTTACATGATGAAGTGATTCTAAAGCAGGAATGGGGAGCAACTTCAGCTATTGGCTCAACATCCAGAGAGTCCAGGAATCCCCCATTCCTGAACTTGTGTCTCCCTTTCTTCCTCTTTTGAATTTCCTCTCCTCTCCCAGTGGAATTTGCTGCCAAGGAGTGTGGTGGAGTCTCCTTCTTTGGAGGTCTTTAAGCAGAGGCTTGACAACCATATGTCAGGAGTGCTCTGATGGTGTTTCCTGCTTGGCAGGGGGTTGGACTCGATGGCCCTTGTGGTCTCTTCCAACTCTATGATTCTATGATTCTATGATTCTCCCAAGTGTACAGTAACCTATTTTTCTTCCTCTGTGTAGGATCTGCCCAGCTAACACCAGGGAATGCTCAGCAATGCAGAGGCAACGGTGGTTTTTGCAGATTTAGAAGGTGTCACCCACCCTACATTCAGTTTGGGAAATGTGGATGGCTGAGGAGATGTTGCATAAGGTAACTTCAGCTTACCAGACAAGAGATCAAATGAGTAGCCAGGATATAAGTTTCATCAAAGCTTTTTTGATGCTTATTATTATTATTATTATTATTAATATGTTTACGGTATTATTCTAAGATTTATAGTTGGTCCATCAAAAAGACTTCCCCCAGGGCAACTTCCAAATGGCAATAAAATTCTATACATAAAGGGATAAAATATTAAAAGTGGTTCGTGGTGCAAGTGCTGCCTCTGGCAGCGATCCTATATAGTTCCATAGATCCAGCCCATTTGCAAAGCCAAGATAATGCCATATATAAAAATAATACAAACATTTAAAAACAATTCCCCAGATTAAAAAAAAAAACAGCTAAAAGACTGTGGAAGCCCGTCTATTGGAGGAAATGGATGCCTGTCCCACTAACCTCAATCTTCCAACCCCACCTGCCCAATTTCTTATCTGCAACCAGTGCGGGGTGCTGGCATAGTATATTGAGTTTATACCACTAGGAAATCTTGGAAATAACATCCTAAAACTTCCCCTTCTACTTTTTCTTTTAGGCCTATGATCCTAATTCTATTTTACCTACTCCCAATGCCCATATAGCGGGACGCGGGTGGCGCTGTCGGTTAAACCACAGAGCCTAGGGCTTGCCGATCAGAAGGTCGGCGGTTCGAATCCCCGCAGCGGGGTGAGCTCCCGTTGCTCGGTCCCTGCTCCTGCCAACCTAGCAGTTCGAAAGCACATCAAAGTGCAAGTAGATAAATAGGTACCACTCCGGCGGGAAGGCAAATGGCGTTTCCGTGTGCTGCTCTGGTTCGCCAGAAGCGGCTTAGTCATGCTGGCCACATGACCCGGAAGCTGTACGCCGGCTCCCTCGGCCAATAAAGCTAGATGAGCGCTGCAACCCCAGAGTCGGTCACGACTGGACCTAATGGTCAGGGGTCCCTTTACCCTTCCCCTTTAATTCCCTTATCTTCAATTTTCCACTTCCCATTCAGTTCTGTTTTGCTATTGTGTCAAGTTGAGGTGGGACCTGCCCTGCGCTATATATATGACCGCTCCCAACACCAAAATAGGGGGGGTTGGCTTTTGCGCAGTTGCACACAGTCTGCCCCCCCCATCCCATGTGGTAGTAGAGCCTGGATATGCCCCCCCAGGCTGTACACCTGGAGCTAGCTGCCTACCTCTGCTACCTCTCAGTTACCCAATCCCAGCTGGGGGGGGGGGTTCCCAGGAAAGAGTTGGCCAGGTAAGGGGAGGGATCGACCAGCCCACACAACAGTGGGCGGAACTTACCTGGGAGTTCTCAGTCGGATTCAGAGCTTCTCCCACCCTGCCCTCCCTTACTGAAATATGCTCTTTATTCAGCTCATAGTGGTGAGGAGGAATGAATGAATGTCGCCTCAAAGTATCTGCTTTATATACATTATTTACACAATGGGCTGCACATGATTGGCTAATTCCGGAATTCTACTGTAAGCCAATCAGGTTGTGGATTCACTTCTATCTGGAGCATGATTGGTTGGTTCCCGCCAACCAATCATACTGCTGCATTGTTCTAGGACCAATCAGCAGGTCGGAGCTAAACAGTACAAACTGAGAGCATTTGCAGATGACTTAGTACTGACGTTACAGGAGCCAGAATCTAGTACCAAAAGGGTTTTAGAATTGATTCAAGAATTTGGTCAAGTCGCAGGATTTAAATTGAATAAGGTAAAAACTAAGGTTTTAGAGAAAAATTTAACACCAATAGAGAGAGAGAGGTTTCAGAATGAACTTCCGGTTGGTGCCAGCAGCAATGGCGGACCTCCTTTGAAGTTCGGAGGGGGTAGCTCAGCGGGAGATCGGGTCCTGTGCGCTCCGGCGAAGCGGGGACCCTCAGAAATCGCAGGCGCGGACGCCTGCGAACGTGGAGGCTCGGCGGGCACCCTGAAGCGCCCCCCCCAACCTGAAAAGAAGCCTTTTTGAGGCTTCGGAAGGGAGCGGGGGAGAGAAGCGCGGTGCTGCGAGCGGATCGCTGCTCCCGCTGAGCGAAGCCGCGTTGCCGTTGCTGGAGAGCGCTGACTTATTCCTGGGAAATTCGGACTCAAAAACTAACCGTGAGTAGAGGAATTGGACAAAAGAGCAGGATTTGGATTAATTTGGAACTTTGGCAAAAAAGCGGAAAAGTTTAAAGTTTTAAAAAAATGGCTGAATTGGCTACCGCGGTGGAAGCTTAAACAGGAAGTCGGCTTCACTGCATTGTATAAAGAACAAAGCAAAGAGATTTGGAGCTAAACGTGAAGAGCTGAATTGAAATAAGTGTAATCTTCTGACCTGAGGACTTTGGAGGGATCTACCCTTAGGAGAGTTAAGGGAAAGACTTTTGATTTTATAGGATCGTTTAAACTGAAAGACTAAATGAGTGATCTGTCACTCAGCTGTCAAAGCTGTCAAAGTTGCTAAAGCTGTTTGCTGGCTGCAAAGGAGATACATAGTGGCCAATTTTACTGAGAAAAGACTGGAAAAGACTGAAAAGTTATATTGTGGCTTTTACTTTGGACTCTTTTTCTCCTCTTACTTAGTATCTTTCCCTTGTTGTTTTAAAAGACAGTAACTTGTTAAGTGGCAACAGTGTCCATCTAGTGGGACTTTCTGTAACTGCAGGAAAGGAAAGGAATTTTCCAATTATAAACAGGAAGAGTGGACGTGGGAAAGTAACTTGACCTTCACTCTGTTATGGCTGATGGTTTTAAGGACCAGTCAACCTTGAGATCAGGGAAACCTTGGACACATAGAAGGCAATCATCTGCTGGTTTGCCTACATCGGCAACACAATCTAAGTCTGGTGGAATGTCTGAGGAATTTTTAGCTAGTGCTCTGTCTAAGATTAATGATTCAATACAGCAGCTATCTACAAAAGTGGGGGAGACGAACAGGAAGGTGGAAGAGACCAGTCAGAAAGTGGATATTGCAAACAAGAAAATTGACCTAAATACAGAAACATTAGGCAACTTGGAGAAAAAAGTAAACAGCAATACAGAATCTATCCAGAAATTGCTGCAAGATTCAAAGTCTATACAGGAAAAAACTGCTGCTGTAGAGTTTAAATTGGGGCAGTTGGAAACTGAAAAAGTACCAGACATACAGAAAGAGATCGCAGAACATAAGCTAACGTTATCTATGATAGACCTCAAAGACAAACAAACGAATCTCAGAATCAGAGCTGTTCCTGAGTTGGAGAAAGGTACTTTGATAGACTTTTTGACACAAGAATTTCTGGACTTTTGGAAATCGGAATTGAAACAAGAGGATTTTAAGATCGTGAGGGCCTTTCGATTGGGGAAAGGAGGAAGAAAGATTAAAATAAGGGACTGTTTGATTACTCTTCGATCTAAGGAAGAAAGGGACAAAATTTTGGGTTTACATTACGAAAAACCCTTGACAATTATACAATCAAAAGTTGAAATTTTTAAAGATATACCAAAACATCTTCTTGATTTAAGAAAGGACTTTGGAGACCTGGTGGACTTGTTGAGAAAAAATAAAATTCTTTTCAGGTGGGAATTTCCCCAAGGCCTATCCTTTAGCTTTAAGGGAAGAAAGACCAAGATCAGATCAGTGGAGGAAAAGAACAAGTTCCTGAGTGCATACGAAGAAGACCTACTGAAAGGATTGGGAAAAGACATTGCGATACCGGACAAGAGTCAGCAGAAAAAAGGGAAACCAACGCCACCGACAGACATAGACAATCTTCTTGGGGCTGCTGGAGGAGAAGGAGAGTAGTCACAAAATGACACTACAAATTTTAAGCTGGAATATTAATGGTCTAAATTCGTCGGCTAAAAGGGGAAGAGTATTTCATACATTGAAAAAAGAACATTTGGACTTGATCTGTTTACAAGAGACTCATGTGACAAGGCTACATCGGAAAATCTTGATAAATAAAAGATTGGGAGAGGAATTTATTTCATCGGACAATGTTAAAAAAGAGGGGTAGTACTTTATGCGAAGGAAAGCCTGTCACCAAAATTTATATTTAAAGATGATCAAGGAAGATATATAGCAATTGAAATTCAATTCCAAGGACAGAAATTCTTGATATTAGGTGTATATGCACCAAATGAGGGAAAATCAGAATTCTTCAAGAAATTGCATGAAACTCTCTTGGACTATTTGGATTACAATATTATCTTGATGGGAGACATGAATGGAGTAGTGTCTACAAATATGGACAAGGCCCAAAGACAAACAGTGACAAAAGATGGAAGATTACCAAAGACATTCTTTGAAATGACTGACAATATGGATCTTGTGGATATTTGGCGAACAAAGAACCCCTTGGAAAGAGAAGGAACCTTCTTCTCTGAAGCAAATATGACATGGACAAGAATAGACCAAATCTGGATAACTAGAGGACTGGCTCCTAAAATTAAAAAAGCAGTGATTTGTCCGAAAATCTGCTCCGATCACAATCCAGTAAAGATTGAAATGACATCAATGCCAATTGGGGCCTTTAGATGGAGGATGAATGACTCCTTATTCAGGAATGAGGAAATTATTAAAAAGGCTCAAAAAAATTTGAGAGACTATTTTGAAATAAATTTGAATACTACGACAGAAAAAGAGTGATTTGGGATGCCAGTAAAGCGGTGATGAGAGGATTCTTGATACAACAAAATGCAATTAGGAAAAGATATCAAAATGAGAAGAGAGAAAAAATCTTGGAGAAAATAAAGGATGGAGAAAAAAGATTGAGAGCGAAACCGAACTCACAGGAGATTTTAAAAGAGATAAAGCTATACCAAGTACAGTATATGAAATTGATGAATCAGGAGATAGAATGGAAGATTAAACAGATGAAACAAAAGACCTTCGAATCGGCAAATAAATGTGGGAAGTTATTGGCCTGGCAAATGAAGAAAAGACAAAAGCTGAATACAATCACGAACTTGGTTGTAGAAGGAAAGAATATACAGAATCCTGGAGAGATTCGGAAGTGCTTTCAGAACTATTTCAAACAGTTATACACGCAGGAGACTCAGAAAGATCTAGACATTGACCGATTTTTGGAAAATAATGGATTACAAAAAATATCTCAAGACAGTAAATCAATATTAAATTCGATTATATCTGATCAAGAAGTGGAAGGAGCCATTCAGAATATGAAATTGGGCAAATCTCCAGGGCCGGATGGATTAACTGCAAAGTACTACAAAACTTTGAAAGAATGGTTATTGCAACCGTTGAAAGAACTTTGTAATGAAATACTACGGGGAGGAAAAGCACCCGAGTCGTGGAAAGAAGCGTATATTACACTTATACCAAAAACCGAGGGGAGAAGACACAGTTGAAGAACTACCGTCCCATATCCCTGTTAAATGTGGATTACAAAATTTTTGCTGAAATTATGGCTAAGAGATTAAAAAACGTATTGGTAAAAGAGATTCATAAAGACCAGGCGGGTTTTCTGCCTGGGAGACATTTGTCAGACAACACTAGGAACATCATTAACATTTTGGAAAAATTGCAAGTCAATATTAATACTAAAGCTGTTTTAATATTTGTAGATGCAGAGAAAGCGTTTGATAATATTTCTTGGAGTTTTATGAAGAAAAATCTGCAGGGGATGGGGGTAGGCCAAAGTTTCGAAAATGGTATAGGTGCAATTTATTCGGAACAAAAAGCTAAGCTTATTGTGAACAATGTAGTCACAGAAGAATTTAAGATAGAGAAAGGAACAAGACAGGGCTGCCCAATCTCCCCATTGCTTTTTATATCGGTCCTCGAGGTTTTGCTCAATATGATTAGAAAAGACCAATTGGTTAAAGGCATACAACTCGGAGCTAAACAGTACAAATTGAAAGCTTTTGCTGATGATTTAGTTTTGACAGTACAGGAGCCAGAAGCTAGCACAAAAAGGGTGTTACAATTAATACAAGAATTTGGTCAAGTAGCTGGTTTTAAATTAAACAAGATGAAAACCAAGGTATTAGAGAAAAATCTTACAGAGATAGAGAAGGAGAGGTTCCAGAAAGAGACAGGATTAACAATTGTTAACAAAGTGAAATATTTAGGGGTGAATATGACTGCTAAAAATGTGAATTTGTTTAAAGATAATTATGAAAAATGTTGGTCAGAGGTGAAGAAGGATCTAGAAATATGGTCAAAATTGAAGTTATCATTGCTTGGCCGAATTGCTGCGATAAAGATGAATGTACTGCCTAGAATGTTGTTTTTGTTTCAAACATTACAAATTGTGGACAAAATGGACTGTTTCAAGAGGTGGCAAAGAGACATTTCCAAATTTATCTGGCAGGGCAAAAAACCTAGAATAAAATTTAAGATATTAACAGATGCGAAGGAAAGAGGGGATTTGCCCTGCCAGATCTTAAACTTTACTATGAATCAGCCGCTTTTTGCTGGCTGAAAGATTGGCTACTTCTTGAAAATGTGGACATTTTGGATCTAGAAGGTTTTGATAACGTCTTTGGATGGCATGCATATCTATGGTATGACAAAGTTAAAGCGCATAAGGCCTTTAAGAATCATATTGTCAGGAAAGCATTGTTTAATGTTTGGGTGAGATATAAGGATTTGTTGGAAAGTAAAACACCAAGGTGGCTGTCACCAATGGAGGCAAAGGCATTGAAAAAAACTAATATGGAGACAAACTGGCCAAAATATTGTGAAATCTTAGAACAAGTTGGTGATAAACTAAAATTGCAGAGCTTCGACAAATTAAAAACTAAAGTTCGAGATTGGCTGCATTATTATCAAATAAGGGAGGTTTTTAATTTAGACAAAAGATTGGTTTCCAGGAGGAAAAATCTAAACTGGAAACGGAATTGTTAGAACCTAAAACTAAAAATCTGTCAAGAATGTATAATCTGCTGTTGAAATGGAATACACAGGATGAAATGGTCAAATCTGCTATGATTAAATGGGCGCAAGATGTTGGGCATAACATTATGTTTGCTGACTGGGAACGGTTATGGACCACAGGTATGAAATTTACGGCTTGTAACGCCTTAAGAGAAAATATAATGAAAATGATTTACAGGTGGTACTTAACCCCAGTCAAGCTAGCAAAAATTTATCATTTGCCTGATAATAAATGTTGGAAATGTAAAGAAAACGAAGGTACCTTTTTTCACCTTTGGTGGACGTGCCCAAAGATCAAGGCCTTCTGGGAAATGATATATAATGAACTAAAAAAGGTATTGAAATATACTTTCTTGAAGAAACCAGAGGCCTTCCTCTTGGGCATGGTCGGTCAATTGGTGCGAAGGGAAGACAGGAATTTTTTTATGTATGCGACAGCAGCAGCAAGAATACTCATTGGGAAATACTGGAAGACACAAGAATTGCCTACCCGAGAAGAATGGCAGAGAAAAGTGATAGACTATATGGAACTGGCTGAGATGACCGGCAGAATTCGAGATCAAGAAGAAGGGTCGATGGAAGAAGATTGGAAAAAATTTAAAACATATCTTCAGAATCACTGTAATATAAAAGAATGTTAGAAAAGGTTGGAGAAGAATATTAGACCGTATTGGCAGACAGAGTATAATGGAATTAAGTAAATATGAAGTGTAAAATAAAAGATAGAGGAGAATTAAATATTTTTGAATGTTAAAATAAGTAAATGAAAAGAAGGTTAGAAGGATTTGCTGGAGATACAATTTGAATTAGAATACAAAGCAGAGAAGTGAGAGGAAGTCACGGAAATAAGTAAATGGGAAAACGGCTCTAATGGTTTAAGTTGAATTTTTCTTTTGTTATTTTTTATTGTGATTTTTTGTCTTGTGTATTTTTCCTTGTATTGTGTGTTTTTCTTGTAGGATGTATGTGATCAGTTTTTCTTTCTTTACTTTTTTCTTTTTCTGTAATCTTAAAATTTGAATAAATATTATAAAAAAAAAAGAGAGGTTTCAGAATGAGACAGGTTTAACAGTGGTTAAGAAAGTTAAATATTTGGGGATCAACTTGACAGCAAAAAATGGGAACTTATTTAAAGATAACTATGAAAAATGTTGGGCTGAAGTGAAAAAAGATTTAGAAATTTGGTCAAATTTGAAGCTTTCACTGCTGGGCCGTATTGCTGCGGTTAAAATGAATGTATTGCCTAGAATGTTGTTTTTGTTTCAAACATTGCAAATTGTGGACAAAATGGACTGTTTCAAGAGGTGGCAGAGAGATATTTCTAGATTTGTCTGGCAGGGCAAGAAGCCCAGAATAAAATTTAAAATACTAACAGATGTAAAGGAAAGAGGTGGATTTGCCCTGCCAGACCTCAAACTTTATTATGAATCAGCAGCTTTTGCTGGTTGAAAGAATGGCTGCTTCTTGAAAACACTGACATTTTGGATTTGGAAGGTTTTAACAATGTATTTGGATGGCATGCATATCTGTGGTATGATAAGGTCAAAGCACATAAAGCATTTAAAAACCATATTGTCAGGAAAGCATTGTTTAATGTTTGGATAAGACATAAGGATATATTGGAAAATAAAACCCCAAGGTGGCTGTCACCGATGGAAGCGAAAGCCTTGAAAAAGCTCAATATGGAGGTCAAATGGCCGAAATATTGGGAAATTTTGGAACAAGATGGAGATAGATTGAAATTGCAGAGTTTTGAAAAACTAAAAAACAAAGTGCGAGACTGGCTTCATTATTATCAGATAATGGAGGCATACAATTTGGACAAGAAAATCGGCTTCCAGGTGGAAAAATCAAAATTAGAAACAGAATTGTTAGAACCCAAAACTAAAATTTTGTCAAAGATGTATAACTTGCTGTTGAAATGGAATACTCAGGATGAAACGGTGAAATCTGCTATGATTAAATGGGCACAAGATGTTGGACATAATATTATGTTTGCTGACTGGGAACAGTTGTGGACCACAGGTATGAAATTCACGGCATGTAATGCCTTAAGAGAAAATATTATGAAAATGATATACAGGTGGTACATAACCCCAGTCAAGCTTGCAAAAATCTACCATTTGCCTGATAATAAATGTTGGAAATGTAAAGAAACTGAAGGTACATTTTTTCACCTTTGGTGGACGTGCCCAAAGATTAAGGCTTTCTGGGAGATGATATATAATGAACTAAAAAAGGTATTTATATACCTTCCTGAAGAAACCAGAGGCCTTTCTCCTGGGCATAGTTGGCCAATCGGTGTTAAAAAAGGACAGAACTTTCTTTATGTATGCTACAACAGCAGCAAGAATACCCATTGCAAAGCATTGGAAGACACAAGATCTACCCACACTGGAGGAATGGCAGATGAAAATGATGGACTACATGGAATTGGCGGAAATGACTGACAGAATCCGTGACCAGGGAGAAGAGTCGGTGGAATAATAATAATAATAATAATAATTTATTATTTATACCCCGCCCATCTGGCTGGGCTTCCCCGGCCACTCTGGGCGGCTTCCAAAAGAATATTAAAATACTATAATACATCAAACATTAAAAGCTTCCCGAAACAGGGCTGCCTTCAGATGTCTTCTAAAAGCCTGGTAGTTGTTCTCTTTGACATCCGGTGGAAGAAGATTGGAAGAAATTTAAAGACTATTTACAGAAATATTGCAAAATTAATGAATGTTAGAATGATGTTGGATTGAAGTTAAGTGGTTTCTATTTTTTTTTTAAATAATTTTTATTAAAGTTTTAAACAAAGAAAAAAGAAAAAACAACACACACAGAAAAACAATACAAAATTTAACAATAAAAACACAAAACATAACAATTAAAAACAAACTCTCTTTTCCATTCCCAATTTTAAATTACTTATTTTCTGGACTTCCTCATACCTCCCTCTTTTTTATTCAAATATAGATTATTTGTACAGCAGTTTCTTTTCCACTTTTTTAAACCCAATCTTTAATTTATTAAAATATTAAAATATATAACTTCAACTTTTTTAAACATAATCCTTGTTCTTAATGTCATATACCTTTAAATTTTTCCCTTTTATTATCAAATTTCCATTTCTTTAAACACCTTTAATCTTGATCTTAAATCTTAATCTATCCTTAACTTTAACCTGTACAGCTGGAAACCACTTATTTTCAATCCAACATCACTCTAACATTCCTTAATTTTGCAGTGTTTCTGAAGATAGTCTTTGAATTTCTTCCAGTCTTCCTCCATCGACTCTTCTCCCTGGTCACGGATTCTGCCAGTCATTTCCGCCAATTCCATATAGTCCATAAATTTCATCTGCCAGAAGTTAAGTGGTTTCTAGCTGTACAGGTACAAAAGAATATGGAAAAATTGGTTTGTAATATGTAAAAATTTAAAGTTATAACATATCAAGATTAAAGATTAGGATTAAAAAGGAGGGAAAGGAATTGTTGGATTAACAAACTTAATTGGAATACAAAAGAGGGAGGTATGAGGAGGTCCGGGAAACAAGTAAACGTAAAAGAAGTGAGGAAAAGATGGAATTGTTTTTAACTGATTTTTCTACTTTGTATTTTTCTTTTTCATTGTTAATTTTTTTTTACTAATGTGATTTTTTTCCCTTTGAAACTTTAATAAATATATATTTTTTTTTAAAAAGGACCAATCAGACTGCTGCATTCTGAATCCTATTGTTCTAGGACCAATCAGACTGCTGCCTTTTGGATCCTATTGTTCTAGGACCAATCAGACTGCTGCAGTTTGGATCCTATTCAACTCAGTACATAACACTTACTTAAGCCTTCTTTTGCAGGTTAACCTCTTCTTCACAGGTACGCGGGTGCTGCTATGTCAGGGTCGCTGTTGAAGGGCCGGAAATGATTTTTCCTGCATTGGCAGGTTTTGCCTTCCCCGTAGCAAAACGTCACAACTTTGGCTGTTTCAGGCCTTGGGTGGAATCCTTTAGTCTATCTTCCCTAAATGGGGGAGGGGGGCTGAAGCAATGACCCACGCCCCCCTTGTGGCGGTGATCCCAGGGTTCCCCATTAAAGGGGTTGTTTTGAGGGGAGGCATTGGCCATACGCCAAGAGGTTGTCATTGCTCTCCCCTGCGTCAGTGGCGAAATGGGGAGTGGGCTCTCTGCTTGAACAGACGTTCTCCAGAGCCAGCCCAATCCCCACATATTCTGGATAACCCTGATGTTCCCCAGATCCCCAGCCGGGGACTGGGAGGGATAAATGCCCAATGCTTAAGCCAAGGTCTCCCTACATCTGAAGTTTTCATAAAGTTGTGACCAAATTTTAATCCCATAACACGTTGTCTTGAGTCATTATTCCACGCGAGTGTTGCCCAGGGTCGGGGGGGTCTCCACCTCTCCGTGCAATAGATACCAAAAAACCAATACAATATCTTCTTATCTCAAAGTTCATTGTCAGTAAAGGTAAAGGGACCCCTGACCATTAGGTCCAGTCTTGGCCGACTCTGGGGTTGCGGCTCTCATCTCTCTTTATTGGCCGAGGGAGCCGGCGTACAGCTTCCGGGTCATGTGGCCAGCATGACTAAGCCGCTTCTGGTGAACCAGAGTAGCACACGGAAACGCCATTTGCCTTCCCGCCGGAGTGCTACCTATTTATCTACTTGCACTTTGATGTGCTTTCGAACTGCTAGGTTGGCAGGAGCAGGGACCGAGCAATGGAAGCTCACCCCGTTGTGGGGATTCGAACTGCCAACCTTCTGGTCGGCAAGCCCTAGGCTCTGTGGTTTAACCCACAGCGCCACCTGCGTCCCATTTCCTTTCAGTACTTTCCTGTAATTGTTTTCGCTCATTGATTCCCCGTACCATCAGTTCATATTCTTCTGAGTGCTTCACCTTCCTTTACTCTCTTTTCGATTTCGACATCTGATTCTAGGTGAAATGGGAGTAACTCTGGTATTTTTCTTTTCCAGATATCTCAGGAAGGAATGATTGCTGCCTGCTTACCCAGGATCCTTTGAAAAATGGGAGATGTTCCCTCACCTTGAGAGCCACTGGATCCTGCTTAATCCCTTGCTGGAGACGCCTTCTGCTTATTCCCCAAAGCATCCAAATAAAAATTAATAAATGAAGACTTCAGAAAAATTCCATCAATTGTATGAGCTTGTTCCTTGCAATAAAAGCAAAATAAAACACTCCATCCCCTCAGTTTCCTATTTTCAGGTATGAGTGCTGTTGCTTTTGAAACCAAAATGGCACATTTCACCTATGGGGAGGAATCCCCCCAAACAGCTCCAAGAGAAGGACTGAATGACAAGGAGGAGAAGAAAGGAGGAGGGAATGGGAATTAAGGAGTAGCAGTTTTATTCAGTTCACTTTTAAAGGCATTCCAACCTTATTTGCACTTTCTGAAGCAGCAGGTGAACTGAAACAGAATGTGAATACAGTGGTACCTCAGGTTAAGTACTTAATTCGTTCTGGAGGTCCCTACTTAACCTTAAACTGTTCTTAACCTGAAGCACTACTTTAGCTAATGGGGCCTCCTGCTGCTGCCGTACCGCTGGAGCACGATTTCTGTTCTCTTCCTGAAGCAAAGTTCTTAACCTGAAGCACTATTTCTGGGTTAGCGGAGTCTGTAACCTGAAGGGTATGTAGCCTGAAGCGTATGTAGCCTGAGGTACCACTGTACTCTGTGCTCTGAATTTTTCAGTGCAGTTCTCCAGCCACACAACTTGGGGGGAAATGTGTACAATTGGGGAAAGTGTGCCTAAGTATGCATATATTAATGAAAACAAGAATGCATTATATCAGGGAATGTTTCTATATTGCGGAATATTTAGTTGCAGAAATATGTAATTTGGGCAAAGTTTCATACAAAGAGGAAATTGCCACTGAAATGTTGATTTGTTTATTTTTATTTAAAAAATGCAAATTTATGTGGAAATGTGGAGAACTGGAAAAATGAGAAGCCGAAAGAAACCACAAGGGAGAGATTCCCCCATCCCTAGAAGGAAGGGATGAAAGGGAAAGTCCTAGAGACGGACATGGCTGGCTTGCTGGAGCAGAGAACAAAGGCACCTCCCCATAGCAACATTTTATTTTGCATGTTGGTCATGAAATCTCTAACCCACTCTTCTTCTCTTATATACGCTGGAGTATGGAGAAAGTAGGAAGCAAACAGTGGAGTCTCTCCCAATGCTTGGAAAATGTTCTTGCTTTCTGTTTCTTTACACTTCCAAGCCACAGTTTCTGGATTCTCCAGTAAAGATAAAGGTAAAGGGACCCCTGACCATTAGGTCTAGTTGTGGCTGACTCTGGGGTTCAGGCGCTCATTTCGCTTTATTGGCTGAGAGAGCCGGCGTACAGCTTCCAGGTCATGTGGCCAGCATGACTAAGCCGCTTCTGGCGAACCAGAGCAGCGCACGGAAATGCCGTTTACCTTCCTGCCGGAGTAGTACCTATTTATCTACTTGCACTTTGATGTGCTTTCGAACTGCTAGGTTGGCAGGAGCAGGGACCGAGCAACGGGAGCTCACCCCGTCGCGGGGATTTGAACCACCGACCTTCTGATCAGCAAGTCCCAGGCTCTGTGATTTAACCCACAGTGCCACCCGCGTCCCAGGTTCTCCAGTACGGACTGACAAAGACTTCCTTGGCCCACGGTAGATGATAGCCAGCTTGCTGATATTTGTAGTTTTGCCTTCCTTCCAAGAGGTGGAGGCAGAGACTCGCTTTCCTTTGCGAAAAAGTCAGAAGCAGAAGGAAAGGAAAGGTTCCCCTTTGGTGGGTGCATTTCAGTAAACAGAAAAAAAGAGAGAAAAAGAGAGACAGGGATAGAGAGAAAGCAGGGGAGCTCTGGGGTCTGGTTTTATTCTCTGTGTTACTCAGAGATGTTTAACTTGAACAACAATGATTATTTTAAAGGCTTGAGCACGAAACAACCCTCTCTTTTTGAGATCCGCTGGATCCCGCTTCATCCCCAGCTAGAGACGTCTTCCCCAAAGCATCCAGATTATAAAAAAGCAACATTTTCAAGGCTTACATGAGTTGTGCCTTGCAATAAAAGCTAATCCAAGAGCCCTATTACTTCTGTTGTTTATTTTCAAGCATGAGCGTCATTGCTAATGAAGCCAAAATGGGACCTTATGCCCATGAGAAGGAGGTGTTAGCAGGCATGGTTGTGCAGAGGCATAAAATGTCTCCCCTCCACCTTGTTTAAATAGCTCAGGATTCGGTCCCATATATTTCATGTAAAGTGTCCCACTTTCAGTTCCAAGCACCTTTGGCATGAAAGTACCAGGACTGGACTCTAACCCATTGCCCTTTGGATGTTTCTGATCTGGAGATGCCATCACCCCGATCCACAACCATACTGACAGTGACCCCAGGGGGTTTTAAACAGAAGAGTGAAGCGGCTTCAGAAACAGGGTTGGGGAGGAGAAAGGGGGATTTGTCATCTTCTGGGGTGGAAAGGAGAAAGGGAAGGACAGGCTGGCCAATTATTATGGGGTGCAGAGTGGGAAATGGCAGGTGGAGGGAGCAGAGAAGCAGAGCCCCTCCAGTATTAAAATGCGAGTCCTGTTTGAAAAGGTATCTGAGAGATATGGTGGTGATGAGTTAGGAAGAGGAGGAGGAGGAGGAGGAGGAGACATGTGGAGATTGCTCTTTTCATTTGATCTAAGCTATCTCCTTCTGAAACATGAGTGCAGCAGATCTGTATGTTGAAATCCCCATGGACAACCAAACTAGGTGTCTCCAGTAGCACATCCGCCACGACCTGAAGCAGCTCGGGCAGGGAATCCTTGGTGCAGTGGGGAGGTCGGTACACCAAAAGGAATCCTGTACTGCTCCTATTGCCCAACTTCCAGAACATGAACTCAGAAAACTGGATAGTCCCAACAGGGCGCCTGGTGTAAACTAGTGACTTCCTAAAAATCACTGCAACCTCCACCCACGCCCACATGACCTGGGTTGCTGTGCGTACGACAAACCTGGTGGACAAGCAGCAGCAAGGACAGGCCCATCTGCTTCATCCAACCAAGTCTCTGTTACACATGCCAGGTCAAGTCCTCCATCCATGATAAAGTCGTGGATGGCAGTGGTCTTATGAATCATTTACCTGGCATTGCACAGCAGCACCTTCAGGTCAAGTGGGTCTCCCTTATTGATTCCAGTATCCATCCGGTCAAGACCAGACCCGGAGGCAGGAATAGACTTCAAACAATGACTAAACCTGCCTCCTTGGTAATGACATGGTCTGGTCTTAGCATAACTCCTCCTCCTACCAGTGATCACCAAGATCAGGTGTTCCAGCGTGTGCGCGCACACACACACACACACACAGACACACACCCTGTGGAATCTGCCCCAGCCATTCTCTTGGCTCTGGCCCACTTCCTGGCCACTCTGACCCTCTTCACCCAAGCATCACAATGAACTTGCACTTTGAGTATATGAGATTATTCCTTGCAATAAAAGCAAATTCAAAAACTCCATTTCCTCAATGTCTGGTTTTCAGGTATGTGTGTCTTTGCTTGAATAATATTACCTTGCCATCATCAGAAAGCAAACCCTGAAGGGAGGGAGGGAGGACCCCCCAAAACAGGCCAATGAGGAGGACTGAGCACCCCTCTCCCATAATGTTTTCTCCCTCTCCCATAATATTAGAACGCAATGGGGACTGAATGAAGCTGGATGGTGGGGGGTTCTGGACAGACAAAGGGAAGTCCATTTTCATCCATTGAATAGTCACAGCACTTCATTCATTGCCACAGGTCACTGTGATGACCACCAGCCTGGATGCCTTTAAAAATGAATTAGACAAATCCACAGAGGATAATCATCCCTTATTGGTGTGATCAAAGTTCCTCACAGCATCAAACCATCTTGCAGAAAACACTAACGGCTGCAGGGCATTACAAAATTTAAAGTTCCTTGCAACATCAAGTCGTTTTGCAGACTACACTAACAGTTACAGGGCATTACAAAATTTAAACGAAACAATGGAAACAATGGAAACAGTTCATATTAACAAATCTCCACAGAAAATTGACAGTAAGTTCTGGCAATAGAGAAAGAAGAATTGAACCCAGATTAAAGACAAGACCAAAAAAAAATCACCTCCAAAGATACATCTTGCCCCAGCAACAACTCCTGAACAATATCCACTTTTTTCTTTTTTGAGTTTTATTATGACTTTAATGTGACATCTTTATTTATACTTTTCCATTACAAATTTTCACATTCCAATCAATACAGCCATACATTAATTATCATTGATGTCCCTTCTCCTCTTCCATGATTTCATTTATTTATGCATTACAACTGCATATTCTAATTACTCTTTATGTTTTATTTTTCTCCTTGCTCCCTATAACTTCAATACTTGAATCTACTGAATTTACTCCAACCCTGCTAAACTTTTAACTGATTTAAGATAATTGTTCAGTTATTCTGCAAACATTTTTCATCCTTCCTTAAAGATTCCATCATCCTGAGCCCTTATTCTGTTAGTTAGGTTTGTTAATTCCATATATTCCATAATTTTCACCTGCCACTCCTCCTCTATTGGTATTATTTTCTCTCTCTGTTTCTGAGCATAAACCATTTGCACTGCCTTGGTTGTGCAGAGAAATAAATATGTGGGGACATCCATCCCTAATATTCCTAATAAGAAGATTTCTGGTCTTTTAAAACATTTTCTTCATTTCATTATATATCAACTCCCAGAAATCCTTTGCTAATTAAGAGGTCGACCCAAAACAATACCCTCTTGATATTTTTGTCTTTGCCAACCTGGTGCACTCTCCAGAATTTTTTTTGTTGCACTACAGCAACCATTATCTCTGACTCCAGGTCATGCTGGCTGGGGCTGAAGGCAGCTGCAGAACAACACAGCTGAAGGCCACCAGCTTGGACCAGCTGAAATTTCCAAGGGATCTCTAATGACACACTCCACACAGGAACACTGCAATGTTTTTCCTGGACATCACAAGGGCATGGTGATCTATGGCCAGGGTGCTTTAGACCAGGAAGGCCTGAGTGCTAATCCACACATGGCCATGAAACTTACTAGATAATAATAATAATAATAAATTTTATTTATATCCCGCCCTCCCCAGCCAAAGCCAGGCT